ATGGATAATGGCTTTATTTAGCACGCATGTGTAGCATGGTCTCAGAGAATTTACAGAGTGCTGTATGAGCCCATGGAGCATAAACATTGAATACTGAGGAGGCCTTCACGTGCGACTTGGAAGAACGTGATGTTACCCATAGAAACTGAACCGTTTCGGGTCGCCGTTTATTTTCGGGGAATAAACAGCTATAATTTGCACAAAAATTAATCAAAATGTTGTTTCCTAAACCGTTTGTTATTTTGACATTCGGAAGTAAATTTAAAAACCCATCTATAGGTATATGGAGATTGCTGTTACCGTAAATAAATGTAGGCTCGACAGATGGTTGCAAGCTAGAGACCCTGAGGTTAGATGATTTGAGAAAACTACAGGTGACCCTGGTTAGAGACCGCAAAGCGATATCAGTGATGTTTGTCTTTGCAAGCTTATATTCGGACATTGGAACGTCGCCAAATTCCATTATATTTCCGCTTAAGCATCCACTTAATGCTCCGCTACGGGTGTAACGGTGATGCTAATAATGGGTGGCACGTGCATAGTATGTTTTCTCGTAAATCCGCTTTGCGTCTGTTGAAAAGTGAGATCTATTGTGGAATTTGTGGAGTCGCTTTGTAGCTTTTTCTCGGATTTGAGAAACAGACAGTGAACGTCCAGGAAAGTTCAGGAAGACGCTTTCAGAGAGAAGATGGATACTCAGTTTTTGTAAACAAGACGCATGAGAGTTTTGCCTCCCTGTCCAATAGTCTGTAACTGTTCAGTTGGCATTCTCTAATAAATAACTCCGCAGCGAAGGCCTTCTTCCTTTCACGGGTTTGATGGCTACACTGCAGCAAAGTAAATTGTTTGATCTGGTTGCTGCATTCGGTAACGACGGTGGTGATGATGACGACCACATTGAGTGAAAATGCGGTATTGCTTAAGTAGTGCCAAAACATATCATGACTTCACAGAACAAGCAATGGTGTGGCCAGAGTGGAGGGCCATTTATGGTGTTGATGTTATAGTTATTTACCTTAGTATCACTATGAAAATCAGAGCAACGAGAGATAACGAAAGCATCGCCCATAATATCAACTGAGGAGGCCTTCACGTGCGACTTGGAAGAACGTGATGTTACCCATAGAAACTGAACCGTTTCGGGTCGCCGTTTATTTTCGGGGAATAAACAGCTATAATTTGCACAAAAATTAATCAAAATGTTGTTTCCTAAACCGTTTGTTATTTTGACATTCGGAAGTAAATTTAAAAACCCATCTATAGGTATATGGAGATTGCTGTTACCGTAAATAAATGTAGGCTCGACAGATGGTTGCAAGCTAGAGACCCTGAGGTTAGATGATTTGAGAAAACTACAGGTGACCCTGGTTAGAGACCGCAAAGCGATATCAGTGATGTTTGTCTTTGCAAGCTTATATTCGGACATTGGAACGTCGCCAAATTCCATTATATTTCCGCTTAAGCATCCACTTAATGCTCCGCTACGGGTGTAACGGTGATGCTAATAATGGGTGGCACGTGCATAGTATGTTTTCTCGTAAATCCGCTTTGCGTCTGTTGAAAAGTGAGATCTATTGTGGAATTTGTGGAGTCGCTTTGTAGCTTTTTCTCGGATTTGAGAAACAGACAGTGAACGTCCAGGAAAGTTCAGGAAGACGCTTTCAAAGAGAAGATGGATACTCAGTTTTTGTAAACAAGATGCATGAGAGTTTTGCCTCCCTGTCCAATAGTCTGTAACTGTTCAGTTGGCATTCTCTAATAAATAACTCCGCAGCGAAGGCCTTCTTCCTTTCACGGGTTTGATGGCTACACTGCAGCAAAGTAAATTGTTTGATCTGGTTGCTGCATTCGGTAACGACGGTGGTGATGATGACGACCACATTGAGTGAAAATGCGGTATTGCTTAAGTAGTGCCAAAACATATCATGACTTCACAGAACAAGCAATGGTGTGGCCAGAGTGGAGGGCCATTTATGGTGTTGATGTTATAGTTATTTACCTTAGTATCACTATGAAAATCAGAGCAACGAGAGATAACGAAAGCATCGCCCATAATATCAGTAGCATAATTATGACACTGGAAACCCCTTTAATGACTGCTGACGGAACTGACAAGGTTCAGGAAAAAACAGTGAAGCTAGTGGCTTAAAGAAGAATTACTCAAGCTGGTGTCGCGCAAGAAATGCGAATGCATCCAACAGAAATAAACATGGAAAATCGTTTACCCCAGATGTTATCTCAGAGAGTCAATGGTACGGGGGTTTCACTGTGGTTCTGGTGAAATTTGTTGGCGAAAACAAAACCAGGCTTTAACTGGTTCTTCATTTTTGCACTCCTGTTAGAGACTTAATGGTTTACTCTTACCTGAAATTCCGGGAAGTAGGTTTCACTAAGTTAAACTTAAATACACCACTCAAACGTTTTCTAAAATCCTTCTACGTCAGCCTTATGAATAGCGTTCCCTCAAGAGATCAGGCTGCGATATCTCGAATATATTACCCACTGAAACACTAGGCGGTTCTTGTGAAGCACATTCGGTTGAAGAATATCATAAAAGGGGTACTCGGCGAAGATTATTTTGGGCCTCCTATGATGGTCAAATTGGCAAGAAAGTAGGTGAAACGCGCCACCATTGGGTACGTTCTCTGTCCGTCATACGTAAGCGAAAGTTTCCACTGGTAACGTTATTACGATGAAATTTCGAGCACCCGATATGAGGTTTCAGTAGTCAAACTGATACTGAACATCTGTGCTCAAAAGGGTGTTTTCACTGATCATCCCTTGTGAACTTTCAACAGCCCGCAAGCCATTATATCCGCACAACTTTTTTCATTCCGCATAGGCACTGGTCGGTACAAGCTTCCTTCTCTAGAACCTAACCAAAGGAAGATGGTGTTAGAAAATTCCAAATTACTACATCATCTTAGGTGTCCAAGAGTAACTGAGTAACGGAGACATATAATAAGAATGATTCATTGGATATGCAAATCCCTGAGGATAGCTGCAAGTGCACCTAAACCGATGTTGAATCCAAAGAAAAAATAACCATTTCTGCATAATCCACATCCTTCGTGGAAAGAGAGGACAGATAGGCGCGACACACTTGTCATGACAGGATCGCTGTGCAGCGCGTTCTGGAACGAGAATTAGACCACCCGTCAAAAAGACTTGATTGGCTTGTTTTTTTAACTAACGATGTATGGGAAGTTCCGCAGATTTGACTGTGTTGAGGTTGTGCTCAACACTGGCTTCGCTGCTTATACTGTACTTCTACAACCTCGTTTGTGAATCGGATAAAGCCTACGCTGCAGGCAATGATCACTTCTTATTCATTCGATCTTTGCTTGAATTATGCCAACAATATGCAGTATTGCAAGTTCAGATAGGACAATTTTATGTATGCCTATTATTAAAAGATGTGCTCCAGGAGTGTTGATCCCTTCCTCGGTAAAGGGGTTTTACATACGTATCCATCAGTCAACATCTGCATGAATATCCAGAGGCATATCAAATGTTAGTGACGTATCTAACAATGGAGTGAATCCACAAATACGTTAGTCCACAAACTCGTGGGGGTTTGGATTGGCCTTTGACGTCTCGGTCATTTGGTAACAGACAGACAGATTGTGACGTGAATTGTTTACAGTTGAATAAGCCATTCCATTTGTTGCTGTCTGAGAGGTACAGGTTTATTTCGACGTAAGAAGGATACACTATTTAAGAAAGATTTGGGGTGCTGAGATGATGAAAATAAGGCATCTTTCAGCTGTTTTACGTCGTCATCTCCGTAAGCAGGACTAGGCCAGTGGGCAAAATAGTGCTTCACTGCCACACAAATAGGGAAAAAGTAATTCCTGCAAAAGTGCAAGAATGAATGAGAGAACTGGAGAATTATTGAAAGAGACCTGCGTCTCTAGAGAAAATGTCCAAGATCGAGGACCTACATCTTCCAAAGCTACTAAGGTGAACATATCTTAGCATCATTTTGGAGCAAGACTCTATCAGCTGGATTGACCAAACTTAGTTTGCGAACCTCCTATGTAAGCATTAGCTGGCTGTGACATGTTTTCAACGAAGTGATGCGTACACGAGTACACAGTGAAACACCAGTATCACTGGGAGAGTAACCGAAGATTATCGGGTGAAGGTGATTGAAGAACAGTCTACACATACCCTGCCTCTACCAAAAATGGCACTGATTCCGTGATAGAAATTACTCATAATGTTTGTGAAAACTCTTAGACCGCCCACGACCGGCTTCACTCTCCTTTTGGGCTTATCAGGTAGGAACAGTCCCCCAGTTTTCTTCACACGTATGTTCAGCTTGGTATGCCATTAGTGCGATATCTCGAATGCCGTACCAAACAAAACATGAGGCGGCCTTTGTGTAGCACATTCAGTGACAGCGTACCATATAACTGAGATCCATCTGAATTCGTGTCTCCGTTGTGTCTGTGAACAATGCTGTCAGGACAAATGAGCGTAAATGACGGACAAACTAAACGGTAGCCGACGTTAGCGATAGGAGTAGAACTTCATATTCCAGTTTATCGCTAGTAGAAACGTTCAATGATGAAAGTGTGAATATGAATTCTTTTAATTTCATAAAAATCCATGTTCCCGAGTGACTGGTTCGGTTTGGAGCAGTGCAGCGGTGGTTCGTCTACTGTACTCACACCAACCCAGTAAATCACATGATTCATAAGTAGTGAGCGCTAAAACGGTCCGGTGCGGGATCATCTTCGTACACTGAAGTTCTGGAGGGATGGTTAGGTGGTTAAAGCCAACTTCGCCAGGTCGTTAGCACCTATTATAACAACTTTTTAACCCAATTATACCAGTCTGGGAAATTCCCATCGTGAAATCTCACTTTGTCAATTCATAAGTTATAAAGAAAAAGTATTGTCATCCCGTCTGACAGAGTATGACAGCAGATAGTAAATCATCTTTGCGTAAAAACAAATACACTTGGTACAGAGTCTGTCAGAGACTGAACTTACTCGGAGGACCTTCATAAAAAATGGAAAACGAATTGACCAGTATCACTGTGCCGTAGAATGCAGGAAGCAACCGCAATGCCGGTTCGAGTTTGGCTTCCTGTTAGAAATGTGAACATTGGAAGGACAAAATCAAGGTAGATAATGAAGCATGGATAAGTTTTATTTCATAAAAACGAAATACTTTATCAGCACCTACCGAATTGGTTGAAAGGATGCTAATTAACAGTATTGGTTAAACTCCAGAATAAGATTTTTGTTGATTTTTAATTTCATAAATCTGTCCGCACAGAAAGCTCTTTCAGCTTAACCTGGTTGATATCCCTGAAAAAAGACCTCTGTAGTCTGTGTGAAGTGCATTGGAATTAGTACGGTCATTCAGATGTGGGTCGTATAACTGGTAGTTTCAAGTGAACCTTCCCATTAGTATACATGTCATCTTTAAAGTATGCTAAACGCGGGTTAAATGATTTTACGCTGAAAATTTCTTTCCAGCCATAAAAAGCTGGGCTACATGATACTGCTTGGGTTAGGGGCTGACTGGAAGCTGGCGATTGGTCTGAGACTCCCCTAGTTCGGTTATCAAGCCTTCTCACCTGTTGCCTCGTGCTAGCTGCTCCCTTTTCAGAACATCGAATGAAAGCCTTCTTGTGTACCATATGGCATTTGTGTTGTTCTGCTTCTCGCGCTCGTAGCTTCTTAATTCAGCACGATATCTCGGGTATTCTTATAGTTGTAGGCCAAGTGTAGCTAACATACAAATGAAACTGTCTCAAAGCACAACCGACGCATACAAAGTTAGCTGCCTAACAAACTCAGCGATACAGTGACGGTAAACTCTTTCACGCAATGCCTTATTGCATGAAGCAGTCAAGTCGCCACATGCCAAAAGGAAAGTTCTCCACACAACAGGCAATAGTTCCAGGGCAAGATGTAATACTGGAAACGGGCTTTCATAATCAGGTCAATAATGTTCACAGTACGCGGAACCGAGTGTGCAAAATATGTGAATGATTTGGTGTTGCTCTCGATTCCTTTTTTGGACAATCCTCGTGTTTCGAACCAGAAAGAGCTAACGATAACAATGTATCGTCCGTCAATGAGAAATCTAAAACCCACTTTCTCCGTACATGCACTGAGTATTCTCGGACCATGAAGTTATCAGACTGGATAAATGTTTCCTTTGTCTAAACTACAGCTAAGAAGCAAAAAATTTCCTTCTTTGAGTGTCGTACGACAAACTTTATTTAACAATGAAATCTACCTTCCACTAATGACCCTATAGGAGGAAGTTATGACGTTCCGCTAGTAACAGTTGACGGTGGGTTCACCGCAAGTTCGAGGTAAATGATCACCAGGATGTCTAAAAGAAATCGAATCAGCAATGAAATTTAGCTTCTCATTTTAAAACGACATGATAAATGAAAGCCATAGAGCACTGCTAAATTTTATGGTAACATTTTGAGAGTCTATGTGGCGTTTACAGCAAACACGTGAACAGGATCGAAGTGAAGTGAATCAGCTGGAAGCAACCAAGTTTCCAAAAAGCTATTCCATCACTTCAAGTCAGTACTTAAAAGTTGGACGATAAAACAGGGGATTAAATACTTCCAAGTGCCTAAGGAGATGTCTGGGTCAGAAGGTATGTGCCCTACTTGTATTCTCACAAACATTCCTCATATAAGTTGGTCTTATAGGTGGTAAGCAGATCCATTCACAGCAACGGTTTTGCACAACAAGTTAGGAATTTTTTCCACCTAACCTCTGGGTTAAAGTTTGGTTACCTCGATGCAGCTGACCAAGTAGAATCAGTCAAATACGATGCTGATTATCCCCTTGTGACTAAAACAGTTAGGAAAATCGGAAGGCAGCAGTGCAATCTACTACGACATGGTCGGACATCCGTCAGGAGTTGAGGTATGTATGTTTGGTTATTTACCTTGACACATCATCGTCGTCATTGTCAGCCGTAATAACCGCGTACTCGTGGTACAGTTNCAGGTTTGTTTAATCGAGGTTTGGGGGGGGGGGTAGGTAGCTGCGCATTGCAGGCGGGAGATGATAAATAGGTGCATGAATCCAGCATTGTCAGTGGGCTGTCAAGTGGGGGGTTTAAAAAGGAGCTATGCATTGAAGGTACTAGCTTGGATGCACGAGCGCCATTGGGGGCGCGACTGGGCCATATCTGACAATGTCTTTAGCTAGTGATGCGGCCAGTCTCGGGGTCCCCATCCAGGAGGACGGCAGTGACCAGCGCAGCTGATTTTTCTGGTAATGGCTTTTATACTTTGCTGCCAAGTCAGTGTTTGACAGCCTCTGACTCTCTTCCACTCTTCTCGTTGTTGTGCGAAAAGAGCCCTTCGAGGAAGTCAGTCGGCGGACACAGATAAGAAGCACCCTTTTCTCATTCATCGTGAGTGATTCTATGGATGTGAATTTTTGTTCCTAATAATTAAATCAGAACACATCCTCGGAGATAAGCAATACAAATGATATTGTACTACTTGTCGGATATTCGAATTAATTATGGATGGTGGATGCAGTGGATTGTGGCATGTACCGCGTGGGAGTTGCACTCAGCCCCAAGGCTGGAAAAGCCTTACTGGACTGAATCCCAGTAAACAGTCGCCTTTGCACTGTGTGGTTGTCTGACTCAAGTAGGTTCAATGCAGGTCGATGCCGTAAACGGTGCTTATTTGTCGTATCGATATTTTCTCCGACAGACAGCAATTCGGCGACTGAGAAGGACGGGCTTTATCTGGATCTGTTACAACTGCTTTGGTCAGCAAGAAGGACGGATATAGTAATCCTGATCAAAGCTGGGCGACTAATTCCGTACAAGGCACAATTGGGTGGTAGATTTGGAATCGATGCTGAGCGTACAGATAATGGGGAATGACTTTTTCAGTTGCGTGCAGATCATCGTCTGTTCCAGTCCAATACGAACTTCCAAGACAGACGCCCACATCGAGTTACTTGGAGGCCATCCACCACATGAAATTTCTGGTCTCTTTTGGATCGTATGGCTATCAGTTACCGATGAAGAGCCTCAGTTAACAATTATCATTCCTTCTGGGGTACGCAACTTGACTGTGATCACGCCATCGTGCGGCCCCAGTTAGCACTTCGCTTTTTGTCAGCATTATGCGTGCTAAAGCAGTGCAGTTCCTTTCCTCAAATTCGACAAGTTTCAGTCGCTCAAGTGTATTGACCTGACCTGGCTAGAAATTTACAGGGTGCGCAAATTGATGCAGATGACGAAGATTGCCAGAAGACTGAATGGAGGCCGGTTAGTGAAGCTGCCTTCATAGATTTCAAAGCTGTCTGTCCAAGCCATCCGACTCTACCAAGTGAACACTAGATATCGTGGAGCTCAGCAGATCTCCTTGCAGCCAGAAAGGATAGCGCATGCAGCTCCCTCAAACATTGGATAACCAGGAGCTTGAGGAATGACAGAGAACGCTGGTGGATTCCGACCACCCAGAAGATGGAGAAAGTGTTACGGTTCTGTCACGCAGCGAGCAAACAATATGATAATGCGGATTGTGGCAATACTCTATCCCCAGCTATGTTGCTTGATCCAGACTCCTAGCACGGCGAATAGTAAGAAGACGAAAACCTCGGACACAAACTTAATAATCCAACAACACACGATCAACATGCGATGCCCGGAGCTTCCGAACCCAAGTCAGTGGAAAGAATGGTATCCTGTACGTGGTCGGATTTAAATTTCCTTGGAGTATCAATAGGCCATTGATTTTTCATAGTTTGACCTTGAAGATGCCAGGAGTTCGCTAGCACATAAAAACACAGCGTTTTCTGGGGGATACTGATATCCCCAACAGAAAGCTTTGACTTCAGGCAACAATCGCGCCCTATTTCAGCTGATTTGAGCAACCGGTCAAAAGAAGGCAAGTGTCAGTGAAACAGTATGCGAAAAACCAGAGTGGTAATTCACTGCCTCAATCGTCGTCTTGAACGATGGGCTGAGCACCTCAAAGAACAGTTCAGCTGTTCTCCTTGTATACAACCCGGCGGGCCCGAATGGAACCTACCATTAAAAACAGAAATCCAGTGTGAGATATCAATCCTCAAGCACTGCAAGTCATCTGGACCCGCACTCATTAATGGGGGTGGTGAGGTTCTGGTGAACAGTTTATTATCCATAATGCAGGTGGTTTGGAACAAAAAACAGAATGCCAGCCGAATAAAGCTACCCCGCCGTCATCCCAGTTTTCAAACAGTGAGCAAAAATTTTAGGCATCAGCCTAGTATGCGTCCCTTTTGAGGTGTTTTTTGGCCCTATTTCGCGTAGGCCGATCGATTATCTGGAGAGACAGATTCGTGAAATTCCAGCTGGGTTTCGCTCTGGCCGAGAACGCATCGATCTGAAATCTGCTTTTGACACTGTCGATCGTGATAAAATTTGGTGGTGTCTGGCATTCAAAGGTGCCCCATCCAAATTTCTAACCCTTGTTAGGTCACTGTATGCAAACTCCTGCAGGCACGTATGAGTATAAGGCAGACGTTCGCCTGAGTCACTCACCTTCAGTGGTGTCAGGCAAGACTGTCCTTTCTCATGTTTCCTCTTCAGCTTTTTTATTGATGTACTGCTTGCCTGCCTCTGAAACCTCAGGAGTCGAAACGCCACCGAGAAGTTCAACCAAAGGCATTGAATATGCGAACGATATTGCCCTCCGTGGTTTAGGTCCTTCAAAAATGCAGACCACTTCAAATAATTCAAATGAACTTGCTGCACGGTTTGGCATTCCTTTCAGGGCAGCAAAATGCAAAGTGCTTCTACAACACTGAGTTGTATCAAGCTCAGACGTCATGCTTTTAGACGAGACAATGGATGTGGTAGATAATTTTTTTTACCTGGGTACCTTTGTATGTTCAGGTGCACTAGCTGAAGATTAGATTATTCCTCGAATTGGAAGAGCCCGGGTAGATTTTGCCAACCTCCAACCCCTATGGCGCCGACGTGACGTGCTTTCGTCTGTCAAGGGCAGAGTTCACAATGCGGTCCATTATAGTAACGGATCAGAGACGTGGCCTCCGCACTCAGAGAATATGCGAAAGTTCTCAGTGTTTGACCAT